CAGCTACAGCAGCAGCTGGAATCTCCACGCTCCCCCTCCCTCTTCCAGCTTCCACTTCCAACTCTTCCTCAGGGTGTGGGGTGGGTTGTGACAGCATGGTGCAGCACATCACAAGGTGCTAAAGTCCATAGTGGAGGCTCTGTGAGTGGGGCCTGGAGCACCCTCGTGGCACAATGCAGCAGGGGTGGGGAGTGCCCATGCAGCTCAGGTCAGCAGGGAGGGAGTGCCTGTGCAGCTAGGAGCCTGTGACCTGCCTGCATCAGTGTGCCCTCCACAAAGAGGAGGTCTAATGTAGTTGGTCTAAAAAAAGCTATCACATTTACCCAAAGAACCTTATCTACCTATGTCTTTAGAACAACATGACTACGGCTACAACCAACAACCCTAAATCATGGAAGATATTAGATTTTGCCATTTGAATGGAAATTTTACAACACAAAGAAGAAAGAATTTAGTTGGTCTAATAAAAGATATTACATTTATCTAAAAACCTTGTCTCCACAAAGCATAGCTCCTGCTTGTAGATCCCTCCTGCCCCCACCAGGCACTTGGAAGTTGGACAGCCCTAAGTTACTCAATAGCCCAAGTTGCACAAGTTTGTATAATGGATTTGAAGTTTCCAACCTCTGGATATTCACAGAATCCTGCTGGGTGGCCAGGAGCAGTGCACTGTGTCCATCATCAGTTGGCTGATATGTGTGTCTAATGTATCAGTACATGTCAGCCCTTGTTTCAAAGATAATGCTTGTAAGATAGGGCTGTCCATCTTCCAAGGGCCACGTTACAGAGATCTGTGCACTGAATGGACCACAGCAGAATGAGGTACAAACCTCATCCCCGCTCCCCGCAGGGCTGCATGCCTTTCAGAAGTGCTGCCACTGCAACACACAGATGTCCCCTCCCACTGCACCATGCATTTCTGTGGGCACACTCCCCCTCCAACCACACTGCATGCCTGTATGGATGCCCCATACCACGATGCCACATGCCTGCGTGACTCTGGCCTCAGCCTCATCTCCCCATACTAGGCTGCACTGCATTGCACTGGGGTGAAGACAAACAGCAGAAGCTGGAGGAGGGAGGAAAACCCATGCGGAAAGCAGCAGCCAGGCAGAGCCTGGGGGCCAACTTAACCCCTCATGGCCCATATGTAGCCTGTGCATTGCCAGTAGGACAGTCCTGCCTTTAAGAGAGGAAACAACTAGTCATATCAGCTGAACTGTCTAGCATTCCCTGTCAGCCAAAGCAGATATAATACTGCTTCTTCCCAGTTTTTCAGCTGCCTGCACTTTTTTTCTGCTGTATTTTTCCCAATTAAAAATGAGACAGTGATAGTTAACATGTATTTTAGAACAGCAGGAAGTTTTTGCCTCATAATAAGACTTTTGTTACTGGCCTCTCTAAAATAGCATATTTCCTTGTATACAACATGATATGCCCTGAGTAAGATGTGTGCCTTCTTTTTGAACAGCAGAATGAAGAAAAAAAGATCTTTCTTTGAAAATGCTGGTAAGTAATATGAAGTACTGAGTAGGAGCAGCTAGGGAGCCCAGCATCCATGTGGAGCACGTGGAATATTACATTCCTTTTTTCTCAGAGTCTTATGCTGTAGAAACTATTACCGTATGTCCTTGCCTATAGCATGCATCCCAGTTCCCAGCAGCTGATTTTTGGGAAAACGGGTGCATGTATGCAAGAAAACATGGTGTATACCTTCAAGTGACCTTAGTCTAAAGCGGGGGTTCTCAGCCCCCTGCCTTGGGCCAAATTTGGCCTCCAGTACTGTATCATCTGACCCACAGAGCTCCCCACATGTTTATGGGGAGTCCCATGGGCTGTGTCCTGCATGCTAGATCAGGCACAAAGGGCAGAGCGGGGGAAATCCCAGCTTGCAAGGCTGCGCAGGGGTGGTGTGAGGCCCTGAAGCCCAATCCCAGTGCATGGCTGGGCAGAGGCAGCACAGGATCCTGGGGCTTGATCCTGGCATGCTGACTGGGCAGAGGTGGTGCAGGGCCTCAGGGCCCAAATTTGGCCTATAGGGGCCTATGGGGCTGGTATAGGGGTCTGGGGCCTGATCCCAACATTTTGAGAGCCTCACAGGGCCTAATCTGGGTGGGTGGGGTCCAATCCGATCTGTGACTTGGCCTGTACCATTGATCTGGCCCTCAGGGCAAAACACTGAATACCACTGGTCTAAAGAGCATGTAAGATCTAGATGCTTGGAAATTTTTATATGTCATGCCTATTGTTATATACTTCATAGATTTCATAGACATTAGGGCTGGAAGGGACCTCGGAAGATCATCGAGTCCAGCCCCCTGCCCAAAGGGCAGGAAGTCAGCTGGGGTCACAGGATCCCAGCAAGATAAGCATCCAATTTGC